GCACGCCATGTTGGAGCATATCTGGCTGAGTCTACCCTGTTTTTATGACATCGGCTTCATGTTCTATTAGCCTTGTTTCTGTTACTAGGGCAGTTCCGGGTTCTAAGGACTTGTGGTAGGCCTATAGGAACTCCTGGCCGGTCGGTCCATGCCCAACGTATCCGGATGCCTCCCCGCGCAGCCGGGCCGCCAAGCGGCGGTGAGGCCGCCCGCGGCAGCCTTGTGGGTTGCGGGAGGGCATACAGAATGGCACGACCCTCTTCTTGGCGTCGCTCGGACGTGTGCATTCAGGAGGGAAAACACACTGACACAATTAATCGTCGATTCCCAAGAAAATATGGGAAAATATGGGAAGTGGGGGGAAGACGAAAACCCCCAAAAAATATGAAAATATTGGGAACCATTTTATTTGTGTGTATTTATTTGTGTGTCCCAGGACCCCTTCATGCATGCAGTTATCGGCCCATCCAGGAGCATCTCAGATCATCGTGCGGGAAATACGCGCGCGACACCGAGACATGCACGGGGAAGGGGCGGCCGAGCGGTGGCGACTGTTCTCGGCATGTCCTGTTGCGACTGTTCAGCCTCAGCGGCCCGTGGCAGGAGCCACGAGTGCCCCGGCCGTCCAGCCCACGCGTCCCCCAGGACGCATGCGCATAATCCGTCTACCCCAGATTTGGTATTCCCGTCGAGTCCATGGACATATACGTCAGGTGCTCTGCAGATCTGCGGAGCAGTAGTCTCTACGCTTTTGATTCGCAGGCTCGACGCACGTGTCGATTTTGGGTCAAGTCCATTCCTGCAGTCTATAGAGTCAACCCGCATAGCAAGGATGGCAGCCTTCCCAAGAATATCTTTGCATCCTTGCCTCCTCGGTCCATCCTCGGACACTTTCGTTGGCCGCGCCCCGCTCGAAAAGCTTCGAAATGGGCGCCCAAGGCCCTTGCGTCCTTATCGCGCGTCCTGATACCACGGGTTGACTGTATCTTCTATTCGACGGCTCTCTTTCGGCGGCGGGGCGGCGGGCCTGGAGGGTGTGAGAAGGGTCTTGCCTTCCCAGAGAGCTCGGAGGTCCCCTCGCCTAGCCAGAAGTCTCGAGGTTCGAGGCCTCCCCAGGAGGACGCAGAAGGCCAGGCTCCCGAGAAGCCCCGCCGCCTTTGAGAAGGCACTCTCCTTCTCACTTCCCCCCCCCGTTCCCCGCCGAGACTCCCAGAGTCTAGGCCTCCATTCCTAGATGGGGTCCGAGTCTCCCGACGTGGCCGCCGATGTCCGCCGATCCGACGCGTCGGTTCGATGCTGGTCCTGTCCTTTCGGTAGCTTGGCAAATCCCCGCTCGGCCGCGCTCCCCTCTCGTCCAGCCCGCCTTGTCCGCGGGCCCGCGAGGCGGCTGGCGCCCCCCTCCTCCTCCTCCTCCTCCTCCTCCTCCTCCTCCTCCTCCTCCTCCTCCTCCTCCTCCTCCTCCTCCTCCTCCTCCTCCTCCTCCTCCTCCTCCTCTTGCGGCCAGCGCAGAGGAAGCGCAACGGTTCGACAGAAATGAGCACGGAACATGCGGGGGCGCCTTGGCTCACGGCCCCTGCTTCTGCCGCCCTTGCCTCCCCTTCCCCCTCCTCCCCCAGTCTGTGTTGTTTGTGTCGCCTTCTCTCTGGCGGCCAGGCGTCGACGCTAATCACCAGCGCCGCCGCCGTTGTTTTTTTCAATATGGCGGGCGCCGCCCCTCGACTCGCCCGAGCACGGAAATTCTTGCTTTAAGCGTGCGCCCCCCCAGTGATTTTCTGAATTGTAAGCTGACGCTACTAGGTGGACCCTGTCAGAGCAGAGGTACCCTTGGTGCCCTGTGCCTCGCGACCCATGTGATTTCACATTCCTGTGGCAGCGTGGCCCTCGGAAGGATCTTGTGTCCTCTCGCGCGTCCTCGCCGATCAGGTCCGACTGTGCCCTCGCTTCCCTATCGGCTCAGGACAACCAGCGGTTGGTTGGCGGGGGTCGGGTTTGGATTTCTCAGGAGGGGAAAAAACACACAGACACAAGTAATCGGCGACTCCCAGAAAATATTGGAACATAGGGGAAGTGGACGGGGGGGAAGACAAAAACGAAGAAAACATGGGAAAATAGGGGGAACCTGTTTATCTGTGTGTATTTCTTTGTGTGCCCCAGTTCCCCTTCCAATTTCGCCGTTGATTTCCTGCCCCTCCACGCGCGCCCGCCCCGGGACCGTGGCCGCCCCCCTCCGGGCGCTGGCCGGCCGGGGCGCGCCGGGGGTCCGGTCGCTGCTGCCCGCGGCGACACCGTCTTGCCGGCCAACAAGAGGGGTCGTCGCTTTGGCGCCGTGCGCCCGTGCAGCCAGATCGCGTAGAGAGGAGGCGTCGTTGTTCAGAGCGTGAGTTACCTGCCCCGCTTTCGCTTCCGGGCAAAACCCAGTCGTGCCACGCGCCTCCTCGGTCGAGCGGCCTGATCGGTGCGGGCCGTGGTTTTTGGCATCGCTCGGTGCCTCCTGGAGGCGAGGGCGGTCAAGAGCGAGGCAGGTTTGCTTGCCCCCTAGTTTTTCAAGGCTGCTCTTTCATCCTTGCCCCTCCGGCCCATCTTTGGCAAGCTTCGCTGGCCAGCCCCGCTCGGGCAACGTCAGAATGTCCCGCCGAGGCCTCTGCATCTTTGCCGCGCGTCCGTCTCATGCGTTTTGACGCGCAGGGCGCCAACGCATGCGCAGCCGAAGACGGTTCTGAGGGTAAGGGTGGTGAGTCCATCGCCTTGTGGACGGAGGGGTCTTCATGGAAAGGGGCCCGCAGATGCTGCGCTGCTCCCGAGTTTGTTCCTTGGCGCCGGGGCCGCAAAAGCAGCCTGAAGCTTCGAGACGTTCGGGGAGTGCCATCCAAGATGCTTCCGTCCATCTCTTCGTCGTCGTCGGCATCGCCTTCCCTATCTTGCTCGACCACTGTATTTTTAAGTCGGGCGTGTCCCCACACATGGGGGAATATTCAAAACTAGTCAAAAAATAGTCATGGGACGATTTTTCTTACCATTTTTGAATGTTTGGAGGGTATTTTCTGAGTCTTTTTTTATGTTTCGTCCACAATGCCCCTGTAGGGGGACAGGCCCGACTTAATTGTATTTGTTTCATCTTGGGTTCCCTCTCCCCCTGCCCCTCCGACCCCCCCGCCGCGCCATCGATTGCTAGTGCTGTGTGTTGTGTCCGCGGCCGCAGGGGCAGGCCGAGTTCTGCAAGGCCTTCCCGGAGGCCGGGTGGCGCCGCCGCTGCGTTGGAGGAGGGAAGTGCAAGCTCGCCCTCGAGGGCGCGAAGTTATTCGCGCTTCGCGGTTCGTCTCCGATTCCTCCTCATCCTCCTCTTCTCCCCTGGGAGGCGGCGCTGGAGGAGGGAAGCGTAAGTAGAGCGGAGAAGGGGCGGGAGGGGACGAAAGGAACGAGGGGGGAGCAAGGGCAGAAGGGATGCCGTCGGCGAGGGCCATCGAGGAGCATTTTGGGGCCGTTTGCGAACAAGATACAAGCACGAAGACCAGATACGCCAGAGAATGGACTTCCGAGCGATGGCAAGAAGGGGGAGACGGGGAAAGGATGGAAGCAGGGAGGGGATGACGGATGAGAGGGGGGCAGGACGGGGTGCAGGGGACGGGGCTGGGGGAGAATCGAGTTGAGAGAGAGAGTCCGGGCAAGGCAGAGGAAGGGGGGGATAGGGATGAGGATGCCCGGTGTAATCGCCCCCGCCGCTGCGTGTGAGAGCCTCATGGGCCGCCAGAGTCCAAGCTGGAGCAGGCAGCACGTGCTCCTGCCCCCTCCCTCTTCTCGGCCCTCCTCTCGAGCTTCCGGACTCGGGCTCGCAAGCACGTCGGGCGTGGACGGGGGGCGCGTGGGGCGGGAGGTCGGCGTGCGCCGGAGCGCGCCCTGCACGAGCTGCCGGCAAGCAGACTCGCCTGTTCTCACACGTCCCGACTTCTTAAAATTGTCTTAGCTCTAAGTGATGAGGTCGTCTGTCCAGCGTTTCCGCGTGCGGCCAGGGGCCCGGCGTCCAGCCGGCGATGAGCGGGGGGGTGAAAAGAAGGTGCACCCGTGTGGTGCAGTGTTGGAGCCATGAACCGGGCCCCTGGAGACCCAAAAGGTGCACGCGTGTTGCACGTTTCTGCGGTCCTGGCTTATCGCCCCCCCCCACTGGGCGATGCCCGAGTACGACCTTTGGGCCAAGGAGCGGCACACCGCAAGCGATGCGCTCAAGGTGGAGCTTGACGGCGTGCGCGAGGAGCGTGTCAGGCTCCAGCTAGGCCGACGCTGCGCTCGAGGAGCACGAGGTGGCTGAGGAGGAGCTGAAGCTCGGGGCTGAGAGCGACCAGCCGCGCGACGACGCCGATGCGGTCAAGTCGAAGCTGCAGGGGCCCAAGGTGAAGCGCGTAAGAGGAGCTGGCCGAGGCCAGGGCTGCGCCCACCAGGGAGCGAAAGGCTACGTTGCATTGTCGGGGGACCTCGCTTGTCCCGAAAATCGGTGCCTTCTCTTGTGCCCGACGCGGGCTCGATGCGGACTCGACGCGGATCTGGCGCGGGCTCGACGCGGAGTCGGCACGGATTCGACACGCGTCCGACGAGGCTTCGGCACGGACTCGACACGCTTCGACGCGGATATAATCAGGGCAGCGACGAGACAGACAAGGAGAAGGCTCCTGGCGGATGCCGACCTGCCGCGCTCCGACCTCGGCAGGGTCGGGGCGGAGCCGGCGCAGCTCGCGAGGGGCAGGGCCCCGACACGGACGCGGGCGGCGCGCACGCGGCGCACGGAGAGAGCAGCCCGGGGCCTGCCCGAGGCCGAGGGGGCGCAGGCCGTGCACCGCCCCTTCTGGGGCAGCGCCTCGCGGCTCGGGCGGCGGGTCGTCGGGCCACGAGCGGCGGGGTGCCGCCGAAGGGGGCGCACCTCCGGAGGTGCGCCCCGCCCTTCCGGGCACGCGCGGGACGATGCCGAAGGCGTCGGGGAGGTCGGTGTGTCTCGTACGAGAAGCGCCGGCAGACTCTGCGGGGTGCCTTGTCGGCAGGCCGCTGCTCGAAAGTACACATGTTCATGTGCGGGGGGCGACCTCTGGGCCGACCCGGGGGCGCCGGTGCACAGAGCAACGGTACCCTTCTTGTGGCGAGGAAATGTGGCTTTGCTTGGACCACCTCGTCCCCCAGCGCCAAAGCCGCAGGAACGAGACTTTTGGCGATTTCTGGAAGCGACTCCACGGCCTCCTTATCGCATTAGTTAGGCACTTTTGTGGAGCCAGCGACCACGAGTCACGACTGCGTCGGGTTGGAGTTACATATTAGGCACACGCTTCATGCAAGCAGCGCAGCGCGTTCATGGTCGTTGTAGTGCACACTGGCTTCTTGGTCTGAGATGCGCTTTTGAGCGATCGTTAGCGCATCTTTCGATGAATACTCATATTCTCCTTACTCTATGATGCCGTTCTTCATGCTATTCGGTCTCTTCGTCATTCGTAAGCTTTTCCAGGTTCTAACCTACGATCGGTTGTTCCTGCTGTGCGCTTTGATGACGGTGCTGCTGAACCAGACGAAGTGCGATTTGTCAGTGGCGATTGCCTTGGCGATGTGTCTTGGCCGAAGACGGTCATGAGGCGGATCCCTCTATCTGGCAAGCGATCTTGGGGGCGCCCGAAGGTCAGGTGGACAGACAACAGCATCCAATATCCGAATACAAAGCATGCTGCGCCATTATCAGAATCATTCCGCGGGTCTTTCATTTGACAACGTTCGAGGATGGATTCGTGGAGCGCATGGCTTCATGGTAGCTTCCCGGCAAGTTCGCTCTCCGATGGGCGCGTGCAAATTGCGCAGTTGCGGGGAAGTGACTTGGCCCGACAAGAAGTACAGCCGATCCGCATAGCGAGGATGGGCAAGTTTCCAACGTTGCACTTGCATCTTCCCTCCTTTGACCATCTTTGGCCGCTTTCTCTCGCTGCGCCCCACCCGCAAAGTGTCGACGCGGCTTTCCAAGGCCCTTGCATGTTTACAGTCGGACCGAGATATAGAAACGATGCCGGTTTGGGAACGGTGCCCTAATGTTTTCCGTGTCTGTTGGATGTCCTTGTGCATCCTGGTGGGGGGGCGCTCGAATGTTTTTTTTCAGTTTGGCCCGCGCAGGGTCTCATGTACTTGAAGGTTCTCTGTCCCAGGTCCGGTCGCACCTCTCTGGCCGCATCGGCCTCCGCCGCGCGCGCCCTGCTGTGGCGCGAGTTCGCCTGTGGCGGACCCGCGCTCCCCAGCTACGGTCACCCCTGCTCCCGTTGCCGCGGCCGGGTGGGCGCGCGACTCTTCTCCCAGGCTCGCTTGCTTGGTGACGGCTTCCTGCGTGAGCCATCGCGGGCCCCCCCCCCCGCCCCCAGCAGATCAAAACCAAAGAGGTTCCCCCCCCATCGCGTGGCAAGTGCGCTGTTATTCTCAGGAGGGGAAAAAACACACAGGCACAATTCATCGACGGTTGCCCAGAAAATATTGGAAATATGGGAAGTGGGGGGGAAGACGAGATACCCCCCAAAAAATTAGGAATATTCGGAATATATGTATGTTGTGTGTATTTGTTTGTTTGATGTTGTGTGCATTTGTTTGCCACCGGGCTGGTTGCGCAGGCCACGTGCAGACCTCCTGCCGATGGCCGGGGCGCCGCGGGCCCAGGCGCCCCAGCAGCCGGAGGACGGCCCCGGCCCAAGCGGCCACGGCGGCGGGAGCGCGCTGCGGGCGGCAGCGTGCCGGGCCCGTGGCGCGACGGCGGGTGGCGCTGGGCACCGGCGGCGCCCGCGGGGCGGTGCCCAGACCCCCTCGCGAGGTTACGAAGCCATGACGGGGGGTCTTTCCGTATCTGGAGGTGCTCGCCGGGTTTTTCTGGCTCGTCGAGAGGCGGCTCGGGACGGCAGGCCGGTCCGGGGGAATGGGTCAAGACGACCTCTGGGGGTTTCGACGGTGAGCGAGGAGGGGGGTGCTTCTGAGAAGGCCTCAGGCCTTCCCAGAAGGTGGCGGTGCTTCTGAGAGGGCCTCAGGCCTTCCCAGCAGGTGGCGGTGCTTCTGAGAGGGCCTCAGGCCTTCCAGATTTGGGTTTTGGTGTCTTCGGCGGAGGTGCGGAGTCTTCTCCGAGCGCAAGGGGGCTGCCGAGGCTGCTGAGAAGGCCGGCCCTTCTCTGGAATCGCCGCGGGGGCACAGTCGGCTCTCCTCTAGAGGAGGGGCGTCGGGGCGCCAAGTCCCCGCAGTTCAAGGAAACATGGTTCGCATTGCGTCGTCAGTGGTGTTGGTGTTTTTTTTCGTTACGACGTTGTGGCGATTCCAGATCGGTGAGGACATCAAACTTCCCCCCCAGGCCCGCCGCCGAAGCTAGCTGAAAGACCCGAAACAAGGGGGTCGTTTTCGCCGACATTGGCGCGCATGCTGCCCGCGTAAGTCGGAAACTGGAACACGTCCTCTACCAGTGGCGGGCGGTTTTTCAATCCCAGGGCTTCTTTGAGGGTCGAGGACGACGCTGGGGTGGTGTGGTGTATACTTGTTTCCCCCGACGTCCTGAAAAAATGACGAAAAATGTATATACCAGGATCCGTATACAGCAGGATCCGTTTTCCTGTGCGCATTTCAACGCAGGGCCGGAAGAAGCGTCGGCGTATAGACTTCGATTCCCTAGTAAGGTCGTGCGCAAGTGTCGTCGTTTTCGGTGTCGCTTGCCGCGCTGGCGGGCGTACGCCGCCGCGTAAGGTCGCTATGCCATCCCGCGGAAGACTCGTGTCTGTTCGCCATTCAGTTGGCGAGAGGACCGAGCAGGCATGGGCCTGGCCCGCACAGGCGGGCCGCTGGCTGGACGCAGTGCTCGTCGGCATCGTCGCTGGCTGGTCGCGGCGTTCGTCGGCGTATTTGTGGTGCCGTTGTGGTATGGCTCTCGGCGGAAAAAAAAAACGACCAGAAACGTGGTGATGGTTTCAGGCACGGGCGGCCTGGGAGTGATGACGCTATACCTCCTCGGCGTCAGGCGAGCACCCAGTCTGTTGATCGATCGCTCTGCAAATCCCCGCGAACCATCATCGTCCCGCCTCATCCTCTTCCACCCTCCTCCTCCTCCTCCTCCTCCTCCTCCTCTATCCTCCGTCCTTCGCCTCCCTCGGCATACTCCTCCTCTTCCTCCCTTTGTTTCGTCCCCTCTCTCTCTCTCTCCCTCCCTCTCTCTCTCGTTCTCTCCTTCTCTCTCTCTCTCTCTCTCTTTTGTTGCCCGTATGTATACATATATCTATAGAGAGAGAGAGAGAGAGAGACAGATAAACATATGTATGTATCAATATATCTCTTCTCCTCCCCTCTCTTCACCCCCCCCTCCCTCCTCCAAGCGCGCGCCACGGCCGGGCAGGCCGACAGCATCATGGTGGCAGTGGCCGCCCGGAAGCCACAGGCCCCGCGCGGCTTCGGCCACCCCCCGGACGCTGGCGGCCTGCCTCCCCTCCGCACGGTCGTCGGGCCCTTTGCGGCCCAAGGCTCGAGCAGTGGCGCAGCGTCCCGGCTTGCCTATAGTCAGGAGGGAAAAGAAGCACAAAGACACAATGAATCGTCGATTCCCAAGAAAATATGGGAACATATGGGACATGGGGGGAAGACAAACACCCAGAAAATATGTGAAGATATGGGGAATCATGTTATTTGTGTGTATTTATTTGTGTGTCCCAGGGCCCCTTCACTATAGGCCCACCAAAGGATTTCCTAAGCAACCTTTTGCGGTTTGCACCACAGGTTCTTAGAACATGCTTGGCTAATATCTTTTCACTTATTTGCATATGTATAGGTAAAGTCAGCCTCCTGTTCTAAGGCAGCTGATTTCGTTATTCGAACATTCGTTTGTTCTGAGATGATGCCGTGGTAGGCCTACAGGACTGGCGGGACGGTCGGTCCCTGCTCAAAATGTACTCATCGTCCCCCCTCCTCATCTTTGTTAGTTTCCTCATCCTGCCGACCCTCGCCGCCCTCGCTCCCCACCTTGTCTCTTCACTGATAGTCTCACTCTTGTTCATTTTCGAAGTAGCGTTGGGCCCGCTGACCCTCCGTGTCTTCCGCGGATACACTTCGTTTTCGTTGGCGGTCGTCATCGCCTGGTCGTCGTCGTCTTCGTCGGCGCTGTCTTCGGCGGCGGTTCTCTTTGTCGGGGTCGTCTGCGCCGCGGTCGTCCTCGCCGCGGTAGTCTTCGCCGCGGTAGTCTTCGCCAGCTGTTTTTGTCTCCGCCGGGCTGTGCTCGCCAGAGGAAGTCTCCTGCCCCAGGGCCGTCTTCGCCGGCGGTCGTCCTCGCCGGCGGGCAGGCGGGCTGTCGAGTGAGCGGGCCCCTCGCGGGCGGGTCGGGTCGACACTGAGCCCAGACGACCGGGCGATTGATTGATAGATCGTGGGTGAAGGCGGCCGGGACGATTGAATCGGGTACGGAAAGGATGGGTACAGATCGCGGCGAGCGAGGGGGGGAAGTGAGGTGGAGAAGGCCTTCTCAGAAGGCTCGGACGTCCCCCGGCCTTCTGACAAGTTTTCGAAGCTTTCCCCGAAGAGATAACCAACTTTCAGCAGGCGCGAGGCTCTGAGAAGAAGCCCCGCCGCCTTCTGAGAAGGACATCTCCTTCTCACTGCCCCCCCCTCTCTCGATGCCGACAGTATTTCCTGTTCATTCTGAGCAGGGTTCGCTGTCGGCATCGCCGCATGTGCGACAAGAGGCCGCCTGCCCAACAGCGGCCGCCGTCGGGTTTAGACGACATTTGCTGATAGGGCATTGTGCTGTCGAGCGTCCAAACACCGACCGGGACGGCGGCGTGCGAAAACGACAAGGCCGCGGCGAACACCACTGGGCAAAGGCAGCAGGGCGAAGACAGCCGCGGCGAATACGGCCGCGGCGAGAACGATCCGTCCCGCTTTGGCCGCGCCTCGCCGCCGCGCGCCTTTCGTTGCCGCGCCCGCCGCTGCAGTGCACGAGCTGCTGCACTGCAGACGCTGCGGCTGCTCCCCATCCTCA